TACGATCAAGCTCCAAACTGCTGTCGTCAGCTGGGAATGGAATTTGCCTCGAAAAAATATCATTTACTATCAAGCGCTAATTCCCGGAAGCGACTAAAGTATCAGGTTACTATTAGGCAGAAATTCCCGGAACTGCACGTGCGCCCTATTACGACTGTGGGAATTCTATGTTCCAGCTAACATTATTACTTCATATAATTGTTATTAACTATTTGTTACATTAATTAACAATAACTGTTAAAATTTATTCCCCATAAAAAAGAACAACAAAATATATAACAATTGTTGGAAAAATAAAGGAAGTTGCCTATCTTGGTATCTCAGGCGTCTCCGATACAGTGGTACGAAACCACTTGTCTTTTAGTAAGTTGGCTGATGTGAAACAAGCAGGAGTTAGCGCGGCGCGGTACAGAAGGTAGCTACGTGTTGAGTTGCAATATTAAGTAATTTCTCAGTTATAATAAATAAATACCTTTTTCAACGATACTGCGTATTTCAGTTTAATTAAATAACCCGACAGGTTATGGGCCCAGTATCATTTTGGTAAAGGAAAAAGAATTTGATTAGCATAACGCGGCTAAAATWAAATTTGAGGTTAGCTTACCACGTGCAGTAGAAATAACAAGTAAAAAGTAAAAATAAGTGCGTGGAAAGACGAGTGCCGAGAAAAGTGAAAATGGCAACATTAAATCTTAATCAAGTACAAAAGATTGGTGAGAAAAATTACGAATCCTGGATAATTCAATTGAAAAGCTTATTATTATATAATGAACTATGGCATTACGTGAGTGAAAATGAACCGAAAACCAGGGAGAATGCAACTGAATAGACAAAAAAGGATGAAAAAGCGCTAGCCGTAATATTACTAAGTGTTGAAGAAACCCAACTTAATCATATAAAGAAAGCTGCGACATCTAATGAGGCATTGGAAAATTTAAAGAAAGTTCATGAATCCAGAGGTCCCGTGCGAAGAGCTGCTTTGTATAAACAATTATACAGAATGAAAAAAGGCACTGATCAAACTATGTCGCAGTATGTAAATGAATTC